TATATATATATATTGATGAAATACGAAATCCAAACATCTTACATTGTAACAACGTTACAGAATACATTATGAAATGAAAAGGTATATATATGGTATAATACGCACCTCATTTCATCTACAGTTGAAAACTCTGTGTGGTTCAAAAATTTCAATTCCTGTTGATAATTGAAAGAGAACTTTATGAGCGGATAAACAAAAGTATATAAAGCGGTTTTCTAATCGTTACAAGTCATTATTTATTTGCTATTTTGCATCTAATAAACCTGTAACTATGGTTTTCAGTCAAAAGGTAAATGAAACTTTTCAAACAATAATGAAACATACAAATGCAAAAGGTAATATGTTGCCAGTAAAATAAATTACTACTGTTAGAGTGCTCAAGATGTTTACGATTTTTTGTGTATCTTTGTAGCAAAGAGCCCTTACATGATGATGAAACATAGTAAGAATTCGAAGGAAAACAAAACAATTCTAGTAGCCATGTAAAAAAGCAGTCAGATACCAGACGTAAACACATCGATCTTTACTTGTCTTTATTTTTGAGATTTTGTGACAAAATTTCTTTCTGATAACATTTGGGTCAATATTCAAAGAAATCGTCATTGGTTATAGATAATAAAAAATTCAAGTTAAATTTATCCATATTGTTACAAATAAAAGTATCAACTTTATTTTTTCCAATCATAATTAATATAAGGCTAATTAGGAGTTTTTTAAGCGTTGTTTAAATCTAACAACTGTCTTATTTACAGTTACAGCATCTTAATTTAATGTTCTTGCAGAAGTACATACTACTCCAATTCCAGCGACTGAAACATCGGCCTGAATAATGAATGGTTTGTTGAAGTCTGGCATTATAAGTATTGTTGAACTTCTTAACATATTCTTCAACTTCTGGAATGCCATCTGCTGTGGTTATTCCCACTTAACCTTGTTGAGTTGGTCTTTCTTGGTCAGGTCAGTCAGTGGTGCAGTGACTTAGCATAGTTTGGGATGGACTTCCCAAAGTAGCCCACTAACCTCAGGAAAGACCTTATTTGTTGCTTAGTCATTAGAACTGATGCATCTTGTATGCAGGTTAGCTTCTACTCTTTCATGGCTATCTGTCAGTTACCTTGTGTCCAACAAAGTCTACCACAGAAAAACTGATGTATCACTTAGATGGTCTGATGGTCAGACATGCTACTCCCACTTACCCACACAGCTTTCTAAGTTTATTCGGGTGGTCTTCTCATCTGGCTGTGGGGATCAGAATATTATCCAAATAACACTCGATGTTGGTGGTTTTGTGCAATATCTTCCTTATCATTTGATTGGATATCACTGGTGAGTTGACTAGCCCAAATGGCATACTCTTGAACTGGTATCAACCACCTGGTGTTACAAAGGCTGTTTTCTCTTTAGATTCTGTCTCCATCAGGATCAGCCAATAACCTTTACTGAGGTCGATCTTGGTAACGAACTTGGACCCGTCTAGTTTTGCCATGATAGCCGCTGGGTTCAGCTTCTGGAAATCTATGCATAAGCAGTTTGAGCCACCCCTCTTCTTCACGATTATCACTCGTGAACAGCAGGCTGAATTCAAACGTTCAATGATTCTGGCTTCTAACATTACCTCAACGTCTTGCTTGATCAGATTTCTCATTGCATATGCATTTAGTAGGGATTCAACTTGACTGGATCCCTAGTTGTGGCCTCGATCTTGTGCTGCACAAGGCCTGTTTTGCCTGGTCTATCTGTGAAGCTACCTGCATACTGCAACAGTAGATCTTGTAGCTCTTTCTGCTGCTTGCCAATTAGTCCTTCACAGTACATCTCATCTCACCCCATTGTCATTGGTCTAGTAGGTCTGCATCTTCTCTGACAAAGCCACCACCTTCTGTTTCTGCATCTATGACAGCCACACCTACAATGTCTATCTGTGCCTCAATAGCAGCACCTGTAAGGTTTTCTTCCCTCTCAAGCTACATCTGCAACAGATTGGCGAAGTATATTTTGGTCTTCCCTTCTACATTCACCTTATAGTCCATTCTGTTGACCACTTCATGCACTTCAACATGCTCTTTCCACTGCAGGATGAGTTTATTGTTGCCTGTGGGTAGCAGAACCAAGACCTTCTGTCCAACCCTGGAACATCGATTCTTGGCCTTCTTGTCATAGAAGTGCTTCTGATTACTTTGAGCTGCATACAAACGTTCTTGAGCGAATTGACAGGTCTCCTCCAGTCTGTTTCCGAGGTCTAACATGTGTTGGTATGTGTTTCTCACTTCTGACTCTTCTTCTCCTATCCACAGTTCTTTCAGTATCTGCATCAGACCTCATACTATTCTTCTGTACAGTAATTCAAATGGTAAAAAAACTGTAGTCGATTTTGGGACTTCTTAGTAAGCAAATAATACTGCCTGCAGGTACTTGCCCCAGTAACATGGTCCTTCCGGACACATCTTCTTAGCATGCTTTTTAAGACTCCAGTGACTCTGTCAGAAAGTCCATTACATCTGGGGTTGTAGGAAGTGATAAAGAGTTTGTCTAGTACTGATGAGTCTTCACACCTTTTGCATCAACTCTAAGGTATACTGAGTCCCTATGTCACTCAATACTTCTTTTGGAAAGCCTACTCTGCAGAAAACTTGCAGCAGTACTTGTGTTACTCTTTCCATCTCTATTTTCTGCAATTCTATGGCTTTGATTAAGGTGTCGCATAGTCGATAACTGTCAGCATGTACTAGCTGATTTTGTCGAATACTGGTGTTATTGTTCTAATCAGGTACACAGCTACTCTGCTAAGCAGCTCTTCTATGAAAGGCATCTCACACAGTGGCACATTGGCTACCTTTCCTCTAGGTACTGTCCTTTGACAGATGTCACATGACCTAGAGAATCTGGCCACATCTCTGACGACCTCTGGCCAATGGAAGTTGGTAGTGATTCTGTCTACTATCTTCTTTGCTCTCACAATCGAATCATGAGTCAATTTCATCATGTGAGTCTGGTATTCTGTTGTTACTATGGTCTGTTTAACCTCCCCAGTAGAACTGCCTTGACTGATCCAGTACAACATTCTTTTCGAGTCCTATATTCTGTAAGTCCCTTTCCCTTTGTATTGTGCTTTAATTTCTCCCAGGCACTGTCCCAAAGTTTCTGCATGAAGGATCTTTCTTCTGTGCTTTCTTCAGTTTCCGTAGACTTACAGGGGCTTGATATCTTGCTTGCTTTTCTTTTCTTGAGCTCTTGTGTTGACTGCAAATTTATTATCAGTCCCCTTTCTGTCTGTTTCCTCCAAGCTTCTATTGCCTGGTATATTGCCACTCACCAAGTCCTGGATGGGTGTCTTCATACAAATAGCCTCAAGGTATCTCACATAGTATTTATTTATTTATTCTTGCTATGGGAAACTGATCATCAGATACTAGACTGGTTTTCATTGTTGCACAGCTGCACCCATATCTCATAAGACTTTCACTTTCTTGTCCCCGATATAACCTTCACCTACTGGTATGTCGGGGTTTATTGGTACCTCTTGATATATGTAACATTCTCTGATCACCAATGGCACTGTTGATCCGTTTGCTAACTTGAGCTGACCATCAATCATGCACTGTTTAATCTTGGTGATGACACTTCCTTTTTGTGAATCTGACAAGTTGTCTTCATTGTGTTTCTTCTGGCAGCAGCATCCGTGTTGACATTCCCTCTCTCCTTGTTTCTTGCCAGCACCATCTTTGTGGGAAGATCCAGATGCTTTATGTTGAGAGTTATGCTGCTGCTTGCTGATGACGGACTCGCACTCAGTTGCAATGTGCCCCATTTTATGACAAGCATAGCATCTCTTCTCCCTTTTGTCTGTTGACTTCTTGTCATCTATGGTGGCAGGGGCTTCGGGTCAGCCACTCCTGGTGTAGACTTTGATTGATTATTTTTGGACTTGCCAGTATACTCCCTCCATGGGCTTCGATATACAATACTGCAAGCTTAAACATCTCGTCCATGTCTTTTGGTGCTCTCTATTTTAGGAACAGTGACATGTCAGTGGAGCAAGTGATTATGAACTGTTCACATATTAGTACATCTGCCAGTCCTTCAAAACTATCTTCACACTTGGCTATGTTAGTCTACCCTGTGCAGTATCATGGTAGACGTGCCACAAAGTGAAATACAGTTTCTACAATGTCAGGTTTGACTTCTCTGAACTGCTGGTGAAATACTTCCTCTGTAAGTTTATAACATTTCAGCAAGTTCACTATTAGCTTGTCATAGTCCATGGCATCTTCTGATGACATGGCCACATACACTTGTAGGCCTTTTCCTGTGAAAATGGGCTGTGGCAGACTGCACAGTCATCTTTATCCCAGTTTTGGCTTTGAGCAAATCTTTCATACCTCTCCAGGAAAGTATCCACATTGTCTTTCTGTTCATTAACCTTGGGCAGCTTGGGTTGGCTGGCCCTGACCCATTGTCATTCTTGAGTCCTCCATATTTCTGTTGGGTGAGCTTGGTGATCTCAGTTTGTGCTCTTATTCTCTCTCTCTTCCTTCTCTTCTTTCTCAATTTGTATTTCACACTCATGTTTTTTCTCTGTCTTTCTCTCTTCTCTGTTGACACTCTTCTCTCTCTCTAGGTCTTATTGTTGTTTAACAAACTCTTGTAGATCACCACCTTTGAGCCTTAGTCGCTCTCCTCTCTGTATCCACTTATCAAAGTCAGTCGACATGGTTATATAGTGTATTTGTGACTTCTACAGTATTTTCGCCACCACTACAACTGTACGTATAAAGACCTATTTAACGGTTGTTTACTTCTATCGCTTTTTACCACTCTAGATCCTGGCTGGCTCACCATTATCATGTTTTTATGTGTGGGAAAGTTCCTCTACAGTTGGTGTCTGTGACTTGTTGGCGATAAATTTCAACAATAAACAAACAGCACACAGCCCACTTGTTTTAAAATAATATATCAAAACAAGTCAAACGTATATACAAATATTCGTTACACTGTTGGTTATCACAGTTGTATCTAAAACTGTATCACAGTTTTAAATAATTATCTCTTTTTTTCGTCACCAGTTCACAACAGTTGGACTACACAATATATGATTCGTAAATAGTGATGTAAACAAACTTGCGATAAACAATCGCTTTTAAAAAGTAACTAAATTTAGCACTGGCGCTATACTTAAATTGAAATAGTCATGTATATCTAACACTTTTCTAATAATTATCTATTAATTCGGTTTATAAACGATGAGGATCTTATACAATACATAGGGTGTTCAAATCTATATTAATTGTATCAAATCTCTGATAAGTTGTGAATGATAAACTAAGTTTAGTGACTGTTATTAAAATTTATAATATTACTACCATTTTTCAGATATTGACTTGATTAACTAATTCATAAAAACTATATAAATATTTAAAAACAATGACTTATCAATGTCCGTCAGTGTGTATGTGTGTTGGTTGATTTGATTCCAAGGGACTCTAGCAGTTGTCGTTTGTTGATTTTTGTGCAAAGCAGCTCGAGGGCTATATGGACTAGTTGTCTTCCTTCTAGTTTATCATTTAAAAATTAGGGACATCTAGCGCATATTTGATCACCACTCTTATAACGTGCCTCGATCCCAAAGTTCTGGGAGCGAATTCATTTTTGTTTTTGGCAATAACTGGGCTGGAACCATGAAATATTGGATCCACAGTCTAGCATGCTAATCACAAGTCAGCGATTGGCTCAGTTTAAGCCGTACAGTTATAACAGAGGATCACGTTATATATCATTCATAATTTATTATCCATCACGGAAAAGAACTGATAGATTCCGAACATAAACTAACATTTGTGTGGCGTTAGTACCGTTAAGCATGTATTTAGACTGATTCGTTTCTGTTGGTCTTGCATGGCCTAGTCGTTAAGGTGCTCGACTTGCAATCAAAAGGTCTCGGGCTCGAATCCCCGCCACCGAATATCCTCGTCCTTTCAGCTGTGGGGTGTTATAATGTGACGCTCAATCCCACTATTCGTTGGTAAAAGAGTAACCCAAGAGTTGGAGGTGAATGGTGTTGATTAGCTGCCTTCACTCTAGTGTATCACTTAAATTAGGGACGAATAGCGCAGTTAGCCTTCATGTAGCTTTGCGTGAAATACGAAACAAATCTTTGTTGTCGTATTTGGTTTAGAAAATAGTAGACATTTCACATTTCCCCCCCCCCCCCAGGAAGTGTTACCATTAAGAAATGTATGTATTTACATATTAGTACATTGTGGAAAATCTTTGAAACAAAAGTTAATAATGAATTGTTTTGGCAACGTAAGCAAATGTACTTTATAAGTTGTCTTTGTAATGCGTGACTTACTGAAATATAAACAACTAGTCCATGTGTATTGTGATTGAATTAAAACACTTTTATGGAACTTTAAACACATCTGTATCTAATGTTGGCCACACAACAGTGGAGATTAATGCTTAAACTACGTCAATTGGAGCATATCTTAAATCATTTGACTGAGTTAACACCTGTCTAAACTCATACTTTACAATATGCGACAACGCCTTTTGTTGGTATGTTTATACACAACTCCATGCAATGCCATGAAAATGGTTACTTGTGCAAATCCGTCTCTAATTTTGAAATGATAGACTAGACAGAATATAGTTAGTCAATAGCACCCATCGCCAGCTCTTCGAACACTCTTATTGTGTCAGAAAAGTAGGATCTGACTGACACTATTATAGCCAGGGTCCAAAAGTGATGAGACAAACCATGAACTCTCATATTCACAATCCGGGCACACTAACCACGTACCACCTTTGACCTTTTCAAGGTGGTAAACATTTCAGATCACTTTAAACACTGAATAACACTTTACATTTATTTTTTTTTATCTAAAATATACTTGCAGACTAAAAAATGATTCATATTGTAGTCAATTGAATCCGCAAGATACGGTTTACTAATGCTAGTTATTATAGCTATAACAGCGTTAAGCTCTTATTTTTTGTTTTGTATGTAATGTTACCAAAGTCACTTGGAGAAGTAGTTAATTTGACTTACACTTTGTTTTTTATACAACTATAAATGATTTGTATTACTATATAATTGAAGAATTAAAAGGAAAGAAAACATCTGTATTCTGAACTTAGAAAGATTACAAAGGCAGAAGTAGTGAACAAGAATTTCTAGAACTATTGATTCGTGAAAAATACAAAGAAGATCTATTTATTCACAACAAACCCGCTGTATCACAACTAATAGATTATGGCACATAATTACCTACTCTCTCTTTATTATGTGTTATAGATTATTTTCTGTTATGAAGTGCTGGTTAGCTTCCAGTAGGTAGGAGATAAATAATCGTTATCTTTAACTGCGGCACTATTCAACATAATCGATATTGACAGAGTTCTTTTCAGAAATTTTTTTCCAAAAAGAAAAAATAAGCTATTGAAATAAGGGTCAATAAACATTCACTCAATAGAAATACTTCTACGAAGTTGATTAAAGAACAAACTTTCTGAGATAGTGAATTCTGTTTTTTTTGTTAATGTTTTGTTTATCATTCATTTATTATTCCTTCTTTTGTTTAGTTTATCTATGAATTTTTAGTTTTATTAAAATGCAAACTCACTTTCTTTATTTTGTATAAGTATGTTTGTATTAACTATCATGAAATTGACACCGGTTTCCCTAGCAGTGATGTACAGATATTATTAATATAGCAAAAGATTATGTAAATTTATGGTCACATGAAATGTACTTTCGTGAATAAATACCCTGCCATACACTTCATAAGCAGAGTCCGCCACGAGATAGTTTGTGAACGATATAATTAGTGAATTATTGCTGTTTGTCACTCGATATTGTTATTAATATTGAAAAGTGATTTTGGAATATTGTTTTTTCGTATATGCTGTTTTTTGATATTCGTTTTTTTCTTCTCCTGGTTCTTTTTCCTACTTCCATTATTTGAAATAATTAATGTTGATATTTAGACCTTTACAAACTCATTTGTTGTTTATTTCTATCGTTATGTTAGAAAATTATATGTAATTGTTTTGGAGGCTTTAATTTGTATGTAGATGTCACATATTTTATGTTTCATTATACAAATTTGTATGCATTTTAGAGCAGATATTTTTGTTTTTATATACTGCATTGTTTGTGAGAAAACATGTGTATTTTTCATGTTATTAGTTTTTGGAGTGTCACAAACCACCAACACTTTACACATATTTCATAAATGAATTAGTTCACAGATACATGTAACACTATTTTCATTCATACCTTACCTGTGCATGATTTAACATCTATTTATGATATTTGTACAACTAAAGCGTCTCTGGTAAAAAATAGTTTGATTATGTTCAATCATAATTGTCTAGTTAAGTATTAGATTATTAGTTTCAAGTAATCCAGTGAGGAGAGTAAAAAATGTGTTTTAGCAAAACAACAGAATAAAATAAATACCCCTGCCATCTCACGTTGTTTATTACAAAGTATTGTAATAAACATGTAAACAAATCAAAGATGACACCGTTAGTACACCTATTGCTATGTTGTGTTCACAAGTGTATTAATAAGAGAAATTGATTTATATTAAATTGTATATATTTTTCATACCAAAGCAATAAATTTAAACAAAGTATTATAATAAACATTTAAACAAATCAAAGACGACACCGTTAATACACCTATAGCTATGTTGTGTTCACATGTGGAGTAATATGAGAAATTGATTTATATTAAATTGTATATATTTTTGCATTACAAAACAATAAAGTTAAAACATTTAGGAAATTAACATGTTAAATTATTTTACAATGCCCTGACATATGAATATGAGTACCTCCAAAACCAGTGATATTGTCCAAAATAGTCACATTACCTCAAAACCTATGATGTATATAATTCTATCGAACATGAACCCTTTCGGACATGGAAAAGGTGAATCTACCAAGTTCTGATTGGTCTCTGTTTCTGCTCAGTATTATGCTTGTGTCGTATTACAGATTGATATAATAAATGTAAACTCTATACTCATTATACTATGCTCTGACACTGTTTAGTACCATTTTGTCTTTAATACTATCAATAAGTTTTGTTAGCGTAATAACTATTGTACCTACCATTGATTCCTTATCTACTGGCCAGTCATATCGGTTCTCTTTCGTCTCATAGTGTATTTTCCTTTATAAAAGGGAAGTTTATGATAAGTTACAAGAAATGTAAGATACAGCAATGCCTGATGCAAATTAAAGGTATTTGTTATGTATAAAACATTACTTTTTTATTTATTTCACTAACTGGGAAATAGGAGTCTTGTGATGATAAGCATTAGGTTTTTTCGGATTGTATTAATTCCAAATAATAACAACGATAAAAAATAAGGCAAGCAGATGATGGTCACTATGTTATCATATTCCTTCATTAATTTAAATGTTTTGCGGGTCTTTGCTAGTTTTATATTAATGAAGTTTATTAAGCTTAGTAAAGTTGAATAGCACATGACCAAATTCACAATGACCAAATGTTCAACGAACATGTGAGCGTTATTCATATAAAAACTAGGATTAATATTAGCAACTCATACTGAAAAAACAAAACAACAACAACAGTAGCAAATACAGCCTGATGTTAGGTTTGACATTACGTTCATGGAAATCACAAAAACATTTAAAAACCTGCAAGGGGACTAATACACATGATTCGAAAATATCTTTAATCACAAATGATTAGTATGCCTGACCAACGGTTCACCACAAATGCTACATATTAAGATATCAGGAAGGAATTTTTAAGAACAGTTTCTTATCATGAAATTATGACGTTTTTAATGACACCAGTATCATAACTATGAAGCCTGATATTAAGTTATTACATATAAAAACAAGAGGGAATCCTCAATAGCCGCGGCACTTGAAATTATTTTAGGCAGAATTAGAGTAAATTAATCTGTGAGACCTTTTTCCTTTTTATTAAATACACTGAGTTAAATACACTTATGATTGTCATGATTATAATATTTTATTCAACGCCAATTTTCGTATTTTTTATATTTACACAATATTTAGTAATAATTCTAATAATTAGGAAGTATTTAGATCTATCTAGCCTGTAGACAGCTCTAATACT